ATTCTACTTAGAAACGAAATTTTACATTATAATGTTGTAAGTATTTTAAAAACTATTAAAAAAAGTGAAAAATTGCAAATTAGTTAATGATTAAATAAGAAAATTCTGGAATATATTTCTCCGAGAGTTTCCATGGATGATATTAAATACCTTTTTTTCTGATGAGGACTTAGATAAGACTATAATAAGACGAAAAATGAAAAATGAAAAATTTAAAAAAGAAACTTATAAATGTTCACATTAAATTTTTCACTGCCAGTGGTTAAAATCTCTTAAAGGTTTTCAAGCAATTTCACACCCATAAAAATTAGATTTTTTTTTCATGACAATCTAGTCCTGAAATATTTAGACCCTAAAAAATTCCGAAAAATTTACGGTAAAAAGCACCGGGACTAAAGGTGTCAGTACTTTTTTTATCTGAAAATACATATTTAAAGTGAAATTTTATAGGACAAGAATCTGATAAATCGTAATGTTTTAAGTAACATTTACTCCAAAATAGCGGAATAACTACAATTAAGTAAATATTACTGTAAAAATTACGGCATATGAATTTTATGGTAGAATGGATTTCACGAATGTTGCACTCAAGATACCAGTACTATAAATTAAAGGTATTTTATAATATCATATAGCATATGTGTGCAATGGAATTATAAAATTATACCGAAGATATAACGTAATAAAGAAGTAATATTCTAAACATGCTTAATGCAAATATTATTAAAATTTTAGCGAACTCTTGAATAAATTTATAAAAAAGTTTATAGCTGAAAATACAAAATTATCTTCCATATGCTCGTAACTCCAACAAAACATGCATTAATGAATTGCTATTAGAAAATTTCTGAACGGTTTTCAACAGCTAAAAATTAAATATCAAATATTAAAGTAAAAAAATAATTGAGAGGTGTTGCAATGTAATTTTTTTTCTCCGAAAAATGGAACTAGCGACTATTTTTTCACAAAAAAATATCAGAAATTTCCTTCACATTATTTAAAATTAATTCTTTTGATAATAGATACAATCTGATGCAATATCTAAAGTGTCAAACTGCTCACATTATTTTGGAGTATCATGCATACACAGAGGAAAAAAGGTGGTCAAAACTAACAGAATCTGATAAAATTTATCGTATTTCTGACTCTATGGGAATAACAAAAATCTCGGTAATTTTTACTGAAGCGCTTTGGTTATGATTTTGGTAATATTTACAATAAAATATGGTTTTATAACATATGACAAAATTTAATTTGATCATGATACCTTAGATCATGTCATAAAAACTCTTTATTCGATTAAATGTACTTTCCAGATATGTATTTTCAGCTAAACGTGTGGAAATAAGATTTATAATTTGGAAAATCAGATTTTCCGGTAATCGGTTACTACATCAAAAAAAAAATATCGAATGAATGGTTTAAATATCTTATATTTTTGTTTTATAAACCAGAATTATGTTAAAATATTTTTTTTATACTAGAAAATATATTGTCTGTAATTTAAGTACGATAATTTTAGAAATTGTTTTTTGTAGAAAACCAAAGGTATTTTGGTAAACCAAGGCAAACAAAATAAAAATTTTATTTTTGTTGACCCCTGTGGCCTCTGTTTATAAACAATTTTATCAAACCAATCTTTTAAATTTCTTTCACTAATAACCATATTTGTAAGAAAATAAGCTTAAATATTTAAAATATTGAAAACATATATATAAGCTAAAATTTAAAACAAATTCCAAAATGATTCATCATTAGAATTGTTATACATTTACTTCAAATTAGGTTTACATATCCAACTTTTAAGAATTCCATTAATTACTAAAGTGTACATTATGTAATCCGAAACTAATAAAAATATGTCAATCTATAAATCAATTTACTGCAAAATATTATTACATAAATGATGAACTTTTAATGAAAATCTTTTTATTGATATTCTGTGGGTGTGTTTAAAATGACCCTGCCCTTTCGGCCCCATAGAAGTGGGTCGCGACCCACAGAGCACAAGCTCGACCAGACAATGTTAATAACCGTCTCTCCCTTTCACTTTAAAATACGCCTCTCACATGTCGTATATTCCAATATGTAAATTAAAGGTGGTTGATAATCATCAAATACAAATTTCTTTTTGTTTCATGAGTCAAATCTTGGAATGAAAAGCAATTTTATTCATTTTGTTCATTAAATTTCATCGCCAGAAAATAAGAAAGACAACCAGTGTTTTAATTAAAATATCTTATTTTATTTAACGCGAGTTTGCTACAATTTTGTGCTCCTTGTGATATTAATCTAAAAAGTAATTTATTGCTGCCTATATTTTTTAATAATTTATGCTTAAAATTTTTGAATGTCTTTAATTTATGAGCATTTAAAATCATTTATTTTAAAAGATAATTTTTTAATGATTTTCCTCGAATACGCTGCTTAAAAAAATATAATAATTTTCGTTTTTAAATTTTTCGAAATTTTTTACTGGCTTTTTAACAGCAATTATTACTATGAGTATTATATATATATATATATAAGGTATCAAATGAAGACACTATTTTTAATAAAGGTGCTTTAAACAATAGGATAAATATTTAAAATTAAAAAAATTAATTTAACGTTTATAAAATGAAAATAAAACTAATGATTTTAAAATCCCTTAAAAAAAACTATTTAACTGTAATTTGCTAAGACTGAAAAGTAATTCTATAATAATACTAAACATAACTGAATCATAATCTACTTATAGGGTGAATATCTATAATTCATAAATAAAGTTAATATTATAGTATTGTAACTATTTTAACACCAAATTTCTTCGTTTTTTTTTTCTCACCTTGAAATTAATTTATGATAATCGAATGAATCATACTTAATCTAACCGAAATATTTCTAACAATATTATAAAAATTTCTAATTCATTAATATAATGAAATAAAAGTTATAGAAAAAAGGAACAGTTTTGCAGACTTTTTAAATTTTTTAAGTTGAAATTAAATAATAAATTGAATAATTTATTTAACAGAACTATTAANTATATATAATATTCATAGATTTTGTTTTACGAATTTTATTTACGTGCGAATTTACGTGGATATTTATTTTTTATTGAAATAATTAAGAAGATTTGTATGGTTGGATAAAAATCATGTTTTTATCCTTAGACAAACTATTTTATTTTGAATTTAAGTGCTTTAAATACAAAACAGACTATTAAATACGTTTTTGAAATACTTTGAAACTTTATGTTACTTATGTGTAAAAAAAAATTTTTAGAATTCAAACGTAATTGTAACTTTTATTTAAGTAAATAAATATACAAACATTAAGCATATTATTAAAACATTACCAAATGCATGAAACATTATAAAATCATTATTTATAATTAGAAAGTTTTAAAAATGTAATAAATATTATTGCTACAAAGGTAATTGTCTTAAGAAAGAAATGTATAAAAATATGAAGAAAAAAAACCAGTTAATACCTATTCAGACAAATTACTGTTTTAAGTTAAACAAAATAAACTCTATAAAATTATACTAATTTTTTTAATTTACTATATAATTTTTTTAAATATTAATTTGTTTGTAAATTATTAATTTTTTTAACTTCCTTTTTTTTATTTTTCAGCCTTATAGCTAAAGTCATGTTTGATTAAACATATTATCCACATTATAGAGTTTTCAGTATTGCCATTCAATTATACGAATACCGCATTTTGACAGTTTAAAAAGAATTGAATGATACCATAAAAGTAATTTTTAACTAAAGTAAGTTTAGCAAAATATTAGATTATTTAAAATTTTTAAACTCATCCTTGTTTTGTTTGTTTTCATAGTCTTAAATGTCATGTCTTAGATCTGGAAATGTGTGCATATTTTTCTTTGCAATATTTTGCGTTTTTGAACTATATTTGTGAATGTTCCCAAATACTGCGTATAACTAGTTCCTTAATTTTTTTTGACTTAATATTTTTCTTAATAAATTAGTTTAATTTTTAAATATGTATTAAAGAAACTACTATAACTTCACATAAGATATACAGTTATGTGGAAAAATTATAATTTACAGCTAAAATATTTATTTAATATTAAAAATTATTGTGTATTCTCATTTTTTAATATACCTTGACGAAAGCTAAAATAGAAGAAAGCAAATAAATAAAAATAATTTTAAAATAAGTTCGAAAATTATTTAAAATTGTATCATGTCTATAAATTTAGAATAATGTTTTCCCTTTACTTCATTTTCGAAACAAAATCGTATTATTTTTCTCTCTAGAAATGTTTTGTGTTCCGGTATTGTTTTCAACAGTTTTGTTTCCCAACTATTTAGGTTAAATTTATTCATGATATATTTGCTTAAATTTAGCTTGAATAAATCAGTATGAGTTAAACACCTTACAAATTTGAAAACAAAAAACATTTAAAGTATCCATGTATTATTCATAAGCCCATAGAACATCCACAACCTGTATATCTCGTGATTCTTCTGGAAGAAACTCGTGAGTTAGATCACCATCAAAACTCAGGAAGAGAAAGGTAAAATCGTTCTCACGTGTAAATCAATCAAATATTGCACGATGTTCAAAATCGTTCATTAATTATCTAGAATGATCCCAGCCTGATTGCCCCACATTTTGAAAGCGCCCATCATGGCTTCTTCGTGTTTTTTGAATGACGATGACCCTGATAACCTGAGGTAGGACTGACCGTTGAATCCTTGAACAGGAGACACTGAAAGTAAAAGTCCTACCTTGGCACACAAATACATTTATTGTTAAAATACTTCCTTCGTCCATGCAATTGACAACTGCTGAAGCAACTACTTAGTTGCTTCAGACTTCCTTCGCCAAGAAAGAGCATACATAGCCAAATCTTAATGAATACAGTAACCCCTTTACCCATTTCTAATTGTGCATTTGAAATTAAAGAAGGCTATATGAATGCGCCAAGTCAACTTGCGATGCCGCCAATGGGGTCAAATCATTTTCACCTGCAAGCGAAAAAAGAAACCGTTTTTATGCATGTGATTAGATAGGCATCTATAGAGGGCGGTACAATCTGGGCGGCGGTATTCTAATTCCCTATATCTGCTAAACCGAGACCAAAATTGTCTTCAGATATACATTTGTGCATTTGCAACTGACATCCGACATGAAGAATGTAAGTAAACAGTTCATATTTTTCCCAGGATAATTTCTGTCCCGACTTTTTGTCACATTCACAATTAAAGATTCTAAGCAATCTTGAACTTTAGTGATCTTTAATTAATTGAGAAATGAAATTTGATACATAAAGGTTTATATTTAAATTATGTGTCTTTGTTTTAAGTTACTTGCATAAATTCTATAAATTAATACTATAAATTAATTCGAATATTATAAACTAATTCTATAGTTTATTTTTCATTAAAATATTGACAAAAATATTTCTTCACTGTTTTTAAAAATGATCTTTAAAAAGCATAAGTTTTTTACAATAAAGTAAAAAGTCTCCACACAGTTAGTTTATTTAAGGAATATAACATGTATCATTTATCTATTCATATTTATATTTTGAGTGACAGTTTATATATACCCACATATATGTACATATGTATATGATTGTTGGTTGCGCATTTTTAACCAGTCATTATACGAGGACTACCATTTAATAATTTACACTAATTTAAAGGTTTCATAATTAATTTATACATGTAGAAGATTTAAAAATATAATTTGAATTCATGGTTATCATTTGTTAGAATTTTAAAATATTGTTTCAATATTGATAGAAAAAATTCTTAAAAGAATATTTTTAATCACGAAGTTCTCTTCAACTGTTAGTGCTATTAAGTTGATAAAATAGATATTTATTGCTCGAAACTATTATATATGTTTTTATAAAATCTAAAACTTCTTGCGCTTTTCTTAGCTAATGAAATTCTCATAAGTAAAGATTTTATCCAATATCTTTTTAGGAGAGGAAAAAATAATCACTTAATAAATTTTTTTTATTTTTTCAAATCAAATATTTTTTAATTATCACTTTTTATCTATTCTTTATATTAATTAAGTAAAAATAAAATTTAATATAGCTATTTTAATAAAATTAAGTAAGATTGCAAATTTGTGGCTGCACAAAAAATACTTCAAATCGAATTCAAAAGAGTAGTAAGAAGTATCATGGGTTTCAATTTACATAAAATAATTTTTTTTATTTTTAGCTGCTTTTTCTTTTCTTAATATAAACTGCCTTATTAAAAAATAGTGTTCTTGAAAAATTATATTTTTCTGTATCAAATAAAAATTTTCAATGGGATGTATAAAGTAATATTTTTAATAATTTTACTAACATTAGTTGTATTGAAATTCCAACTATATATTTTAATGCGACTAATTCTTTTAAGTCTTAGTTAATTAAAATATTTTACATTAAGATTTTTTGTTTTTAATAAAGAGCATTATTAATTTATGAAATATAACCATTGTATCAGATTGATATCTTGAAAGGAATGTACTTTATTTCTAATTTGTAAAAATGTTGAGTAAATTTTAGTAACAGATTTCCTAATGCGGTTTTTGAATAATGTGAAATTACAATTTGAATTGTTCTGTAATTTAGGTTTAAGTTTAATCATAATTAATTTAAAAACGTATGACTTATTCGTTTTATTGGAAATAATTTATATTTTTTAACAAAGAAATTTACTTAACAAAAATTATACTTTAAGGAGATAATTTTTTAATTTTCTAAAATCTAATTTTAAAAACAATGAATAATTCTAATTTCAAATTTATCTTCTAATATTCAAAATTTTTGCATTCAATTTAGAGGTTTTCGAGCTTTTGTAGTAAAATGTAATTCATAGTAAAGATCAGTATAAGCATTTATCTCCATATTTTCATATTTTCCGCTATTTCATTTTATTGGTAATAAAAAAAATGAAAGACGATGAGGAAAATCTATTGAATACGGTATTACATATTTTAAGCGTGCCAAATTTATCTAAAACAAAAGGTTACACCATGTTGCTTTAAACTACATCTTCAGTAGCTAGATTTACAGATTTTCTATTTCAGAAACTACTTTTTAAAATTTTCTGAAAGTAAAATAGTTCGTGAGCATAAAATTTGCAGAGATTCTAAAAAAGTTTGAAAAACTTAACTCTGAACACTTTTCTCCCATTAATGTAAATTTAATAAATGGACAATAAAATATTTCTATTCCAGATTTACTAAAATATTGTATGCAATACAACATTGTTAATGCTTTTATTTCAATAAAACGCAGAGAGAACCTGCGAAACTCTCTTCCTCTCCAGTTCAGCGGTCGTTAACGAACCGGTTTCCTGTTTGGCATTTTCTTAAACAAAGAATATATACATAGAAGTTTAAAAAATTAGGAGCAAATATCTCCTACATCTTATATTGCATAGTTATGTATTTCTTTATTACGAATCTTGAATAAGTAATTTTATTAATTATGGAATAATTAATTAATTAATTAACGTTAATTGATTAATTAATGTCACCAATTAAGTACTATACTTAATTGGTGACATTCTAACACTTGATAATAGCTTCGTAAGTTAGGGTACATTGATCGGTTTGCATTACATCTATCTGTATACAAAAATTCGACTTACGATTTTAAAACGTTTTCCCAAACATGATTTTTAATTGATTCACTAAGTGGCACAAAAGTTTTGAAAGGGAGCCCCTGCTCTTCGGTATACCACATTAGTTAACCAGAATCGAAATTAAATGGGGTTCCTTCGCTTTCAGAAAATGTTAGGCTACCGATCGAACCTTTCTATCGGTATCCAAAACCATAATATGCTGTAAATTTACTGCAGTTACTGTAATTTACTGCAGTAAAGTCCCGAATTGAACATATTTTCGTACGAGTAGAACCATTTTATTATATAATTAAGTTTAAGTTGGACGATAATCTGGTTCAATTCTGGAAGATAATCTGGTTCAACTTGGCTCCATATTATGATTATAATGATTCTGAACCATAATCAGGGGTCTGTTTAGAAAATATTTGGGTCCGTTAACGGACCCTTCACAAAATATCATTTCATAAAAACGGACCCTTCACAAAATATCTTTTCATAAAAACGAACCCTTCACAAAATATTTTAACTAAAAAACGAACCCTTCGCAAAATGATTTTTCTTTTAATCGAACCCTTCACAAATTTTTTTATCATCGTTATTGTTTTGTTAATCGAATAAATCCTTCCCAAGGGAAAAAAAATTAAGACAGATGTAAACGATCTATGTTTTGTCTTCGCCAGACGCGTCTTCCTAGATTAGTCCGAAATGAATATTCTGCGTTCAGCAGTATAGGCTAAATACCAAATATTATCTCTAATTTAGAAGAAGCAATTGCTGTTTATTTTTGAAAATGTAATTTTCTTTAATTATAGTTTTACAGTGTTGAGCATAATCTTGTATTTATTTACAATTTAAAAACTCCTTGAAAAAGTTTTTTGCGATAACAGGACCCTATTCGCACAAATTTAAAAAGCAGCCCTGGTTGAAAGAATGTGACTTAACGTTTTTTTTTATTCACAAATTACGAGTAATTTTTTCACAATTTTACAAAAACGGACCTTTCACAAAATGTCTGGACAGACCCCTGATAATATAATTCAACTTCCTACAAAATTTGCAACAGTATACCATCTCTGTTAAAAGTTAAATTACTCTTGTAATGGACCAACTATGTCGAATAATCGAAATATTGAAATACACTATGTGGCCAAGCATATCCAGACACCCTGTGTAATGAATTCGGATCATCACAATCGAGGCATATAGTATTTACATAATGTAGACGGTATACGTCTGGGAAGACTCTCCTCTAATTTTTTAATTGGTCACTATATGATTGACTTCCTAACATGCACCTCTACTGAAGTGAATGCTAGCAGTCTGAATGGTTGTTTTAACTAACTACGTAATCTAATCTGGTTTCTAATTCCACCAATTCATCCTAAACTTGTTTTATGGAATTGAGATTGGGGCTATGAGAAGTTTATGAGCACCCATTTCGGAAAACCATAGCCAAGTGAAGTCTCAATGCAGGAATGAGGCAGCTATTCTGCTGAAGGAGAAATTAACCCCTAAATCTTACCGTTAAGTATGGAGAGCATCATTGCCCAGTTACCCATATATCTCAGTGTTCATGTTTCCAACCCCAAGAACTAATGAACGTAGTTCAAACCATTTAAATTACCCCCACACTTTAATACTTTGGTGGGTGTCCGGTCAATTTTGGCGAGATAGTGTATGGCACTACTATTAAACTTGCTAAGTTTTTTTTTAACTGACTTACACATTGTTTCAATTTCAGCTTCTCTTGTGCTTCACGCTCTTTAGCGTGTCATCTTTGACCTTTTCTGCCCTACAAGATAACCGATATTCTCGACCTTATTCTGGTAACACTTACAACCACGGAGGTAGGAGCTACCAGTCACCCAGAGGTCCTTCAGCTCCAGTAAGACCTTCCCACCCCGGATCCCCTGCTGCCCCATTGAGGCCTGCTCACCCAAGTGGTCCATCCCACCCAAGTGGTCCATCTCGTCCAAGTGGTCCATCACACCCAAGACAGCCTGCAGCTCCTGCTTTCAGAGCACCAGCAACTTACGGAGCAGGAAGACCTTACGGTGCACCATCTCATTACTCTGCACCCGCACCTGCTGCATACGGAGCTCCACATAACTCATACGGAAGCAATCTTCCTCGAGGTATAATTTAAAATTATTGTATCTTTTTTGTTTTAAAATTCGTAATTATTTACTATTTCACGCTTGAAAGTTCGTACTATTGAGCATTTATAAGTTATATTTCAGTGTATTTTAGATGATTTGAGTTGTAATTTCAGATTATTGCAACAGTTTTCAAACCATATTGTTATGATTCTTAAATTTTCTTGGTTTGTTGGTAAAGATTATTGGATTTATTAAAGTTTAACATGTATTTTTTCTGCTCAAAAGAAGGGAAGAAATTACTTAATATACTTAAAATTTACAATTATTCGCAATGTATATTGTTTAAATTTTTTAGTCGTGATGTGGGGGCTTAGTATTTAAAGGATCTTAGCGATTTTTGTGAAGTATTGGGCTTCAATTTTCATTAGTGACTTGAAATCCATCTAGCTTTAGATCAATAGGCACCAACTTGTCTGGGAAGTAAGCATTGCGCGCAGTACTAACCACATTTCCACAATAATTCCGTTGGTCACGAAATCAAGGAGATTTGACGACCATGATCCCTAAACCCACTGCGGCTTGTTGCGCGGATGCTTTATTTACCTTAACCTCTGTTATTTAAATAAGTTTTTTATAACATGTACAACCCAAATCAAAACAATTTTTTTTTAAAATTACAGCGGAAATTAGAACTAATAGGTTGTACTAGGTATTATGATTTTGCTGAGGGAAAAAGTACTTGAAAAGTACTAGGAAAAGTTGCTAAACTTTATACTAGCCAATTTATTCATCCTACCCCTAACATGCTTATTTTAATGACATCCTAGTTATAAGTAACAGATATATTGTAATGGATAGTTCGATGGTCATTGAACAAACATTAAAGGTCATACAGCTTACTAAATCTTACACTTTTTTGCATAGGGATGTATGGTTGGAAGTTTAACAACTGAATTTTAAACTTATTAAGTGAATAAACTGAAATAATCGCTACTCTCTTAAAATTTTCTTTTCAAAAATGCAGAGAAAAAACAAGAATCTATGCTGAATTGAATAAGTTCTAATTCAAATTTCTCGTCAACAGAGTCATGAAAAATTCAAGTTTTCCTTACGCATTTCTATAAAGGAGCTTTATATCTATAAAGAATAAATGTATTTTAATTTAATTCATAAACAAGCATTCGGGTAAAATCATCGCCTATCTTGGTTTCGGCAGAAGTTCAATTCCCCGTACTAAGATCTAGGTGCCTATTCGGTTTGTAGTCTCTCCAATAGTGCATTTTATGTTTAAAATTCCACTCAAATGTAATGTCCCGGTGTTTTCAAAGTCGGAAAAAGCTTTGCGCCAATGCTGCGGCAAGTAATTTACAGAGATCTACTTAATTTAATTCTCTAAAATTACAGAATTTCCTGAGAATACCTTTCTACAAAAACTTTTCATTTTTAATTCTCTGTAATGTTGCTCGAGACTCAAAATGAATGATTTATAGTTGATTCTAATGTATTTTTACTTTTAATAGTGCAAGATTTTCTGACTCTTATTCGTTTTGAGCATTTAGGCATTACTTCAATAAGCACTTTGCGATAATGTTGTAAATTGTATTTTTCTTTTAATAGTGTTTTTCATTGATTGTCTGTACATTGCAAAAAATTATTCTGCAAAAATATTTTTCAATTTACTGTCATTTATCAAGACCCTTATAAAAAATTACAGAGAGTAAAAAGAAAGAAAATTCTGTAAAATATTCACATGTGACTCAATAATTTTAAATTAGAAAAAATGAAGCAAAACTTCATAAACTATTTTCTGTCTTAAGGTCACACATCCCCAACCATGGCCAAGAGCCCAGCCCCATTTTTAGAGCTCTATCTTCTTAACGACAATTGTAGGAATGCCACATAATTTTGACCCCAGTTAGAGGACGTGGACAGCCCTTTAGCTGGTACCTCTCTCTCCAAACATTCACGCCACAACCAATGAGAGGACTTACAACCATATCTGGTTTAACTCGCGCCTTGATGCAAGTAGCCGCTGGTTATTTTGTTGACAACCAGGATCGAACTCATTACTTTTAGCTCTTCAACTAGCAGTGCGAGTGATGCCTTAGCCAACTGTGACATCGAAGCGCTTGGCACTTCGACATTAAGAATTTTGTGGTTTGAAATTTTTGGGAACATTACGTTAGAGTGGAATTTAAAACACTAAAAGACTGTTAGAGAAAGTGTAATTCTCCCAGAATTTAAACTTTCCAGCCATTTAAGAGTATATTATAGTGTCACTGTATCCCTGTATGAATTAAAAAGATTAATAACACTATTATTCCAACCAACTAAAAAATGTAATATCATTTATTGAAAATCATTTGATCACAATGTAGAAAGTGTAGAATAAAAACGGAACTCCTTAATAATTTCAGATCTTGTGCTTGGGTTGCCACTTAATAAAATGGAATCTTAATGGAGAAAATGGTAAACTTCAATATGATAAGTTAGTTGTACAGATGTCATTTTAAATTGGGAAATCAGACACAAAAACGTACATTCGGTAAATAAACGTACCTTTTTATCGATGGATTTGGATTCTGAACCTTATAATAGAAGGTTGTATGATGTAGATTTACCTCCTTGTAGTGCATCCTAATAACACATTTTGGCGATTAAGAGATCTACAATATTTCGTTAAAAATAAAAAAAAATAGAAGGGCTTGCAAATATCTGGAAAATAGAGTTCCGATAGGCTTAGGCCGGAGAGCAATCAAACGTTTGAGCTCCATAAAACTCGTTCATTTAAAGATAATTCCATGTAAAAATGTATTTTTTATATATAATTTCATATAATAAGGTAGCTACGCAATTTTAAAAGACATTAGAGAAATTTTGAACGGAATTGGTCAAATAGTTCTGGAAATGTTAAAACACGGCATTTCTGTTACTATTCAACAAGAAAAAAATGCAATTAACATTAAGGGTCTTTAAACTTCGATTACCTCTTGTTTAAACTATTAGGACCCTAATTTTTAGACTGCAGCTACCCTCTCCATTTTGAGGGTCATAAATTTAAATTCTCAAAAAAAAAAACAAAAAAAAACTCAAATTATTAATTACATTATAGTACATGAAAATGAAAATCTAATAATTAGAATAAAAGTTATTAAGTTCTTTATTTTGTGCACAGTATTACAATTCGCCATTATTTTTTAAATACAGCGAATGCACACAGAATAACCATGCAGAAAGATTATCTTTCGATTGGTGTGATACTAAAAATATGGTAAATAAAAAATCGGAGTGCATATTCGGAGTACATAACATATACAGTAAATAATATATAGCTTATTTACATTATTATTCTGAACATATTTTTATTTCGTCTTATATGTACATATTTAAGTCAAGACACTCGTTTTTATTACATTTCTTTATTATTGTTGTTGCTTTTATCACTATTTTGTTGTTGTTGTAGTTTTGTGAGTTTTAAGTGTGTTGTACTACCTAAACTATTAATATAAAAATCATTAGAAATAATCTTCTAATTGAGAAATTATTCAGCATATTTTTATAAAAGCTGCCACAGCATGTAGGAAAAATGTGATGTAAAATAAAATCAAAAATTTAATGACAACACTTTTTTTATATTAATACATAATTTCAAATTATAGAAGACAGTATTTTTATAAACAGTTACTATTTTTGAAAATTAAAATTGCCATTATTAAAAAAAATGATATTCAAAATTTTCATTTTTAGATTTGATTTTCATTTAGATTTTTATTTTAAATTTGTAAGTAATTCCGTTTTAATTCATTGTTATTAAATATAACATTAATTATAACACTTGCAACCTTTTAATTATGCTATTTTTTACATTTACAAGAAGACAGTATCTTCAATTACAAAAAACTAAAAAGGATATCAAAATTGAACTAAAAGGAATGTCATAGTTTGTAATTTACATGCAAAAAATAAGGAAAAGTTAGATGCAATGCACAAAAATTCTACTATTTTACGATTAAAAAAATATTAAACTTTAGTTAAAAGTATGTTAGAAACTCTTAGTAAACATATGAATTACCAAATATGGTAACTGAAGTGCTGTTTTTGCCCTTGAAACGCTAGTCAGGTTGTTTGGAATATAGTAATATAATTGGCAGAACTTTATCCTGAACTTTTGCAATTTTTAAACCAATACTTCCTTGAACAAGCATTGTAGTCCTTTTATTTTATTACACTTTAAAATTTTGACAGTTTTTCTCAAGGGCATCCGAGATTTTCCTGACATTTTAAGAAAAAAGAAAAGTACCAATGGATATGGCCATTTTTTGTTTGTTTCTCCACGCGCTTTTCTCCTTTTTTTAAAATTCTGCTCTTGCCCAATCAGAAAGAATCTTCGAGGTTAAGATATATTTCGCACTTTAGGAAAACATAAGACTACAGTGGTAACTTGAAAAGATTTATAACCTTGCATCACATATTCAAATTACGTGGGCTACAATGGATTTCGTAAAACTTTATCCAGAGGTATTTATTACTATAATTTGAGACAATCCCTTATTTTTTTCTCACCTTTTCATTTTTTAAATCAGATTACTGTCAGAACTAAAATATTTTCAAACTTGTGAAAAAATATATACATTTGAAACCTATGTAAATTGACCACTTTGCTGTTACTTTTGATCACTTTGCTTTTAAAGAGGTATGAATCATTATGTTTTATATCGTTTCTTTTATATATATTCATCTATCTATCTATATTCATCTATCTATCTATATGCATATATATATATNATATATATATATATAAGCATTATTCTATTATTCATTTATTTCTTATATGTTAACAGTCAAAATAGCGATAAATGTAATTATGTAACTAATTCTTTGAACAAGACTTTAGCATTTTATCAAATGTTAAAGTCTTGTTACAAAAAATTTTGTTGAAAAAATTTCAGAACTTTAGATTTGTTATGTACGGTTTATGTGCATTTTTCACAAAAATAATGATTAGATCACCATCTGATGCATCTTGAGGATTATTAAGTTTTTACAAAACATTAGCGGGAAAAATCGTTTCTCCCCAAGAGTTATTACACAGAGAAATAGACCATTGTGGAAAACCCCTTTCTTTCTTCGCACAAAATGCTTTTTTTGTGAAGCAGCTTTTATGAATATAAACCATTCTTTCCTCACAGTTTTCGTAAAAGATAAATAGGTTTTACAACATTTTATTTTATATGACAAAATCGGTTCTTGATTATAAAGGACAACTTACATGAGTGGTCCACTCAACCTTTGTTATGTAAATTATCTGCTTACTAACAAATTTCATATAGTGTACAAAAAATAAAATAGACTTAATTTAAATGAGTATTATAAATTATGAAATGAGTATTAATCTTCATGAAACTTTCCATAAAGATAAATTGTAAGTAAGAAATAAACATAAGTAGCTTACTCTAAATTAGTTTTATTAAAAATGTTTCATTAAAAATTATTTAGAGTAATTAATAATTTAATTTCATGAAAGCTTATTTCATAGTTTTCAAGTAAGCATTTTCAACTCAATTATGAAATAAAAATAAATAATAATATAGGTAATAACAAAAATAAATAATAATAATATAGTTAGCAATAAAAATAAATAATAATAATATAGTTAGCAACAAAAAATAATGAATAATAAAATAATAATTTTAATATTAAAATAATGATTTTTAATATTAAAATGTGCACTTTGTCTGAAACGCGTTATTTCTACAAATGGTTTTTTATTATAAAAACATTGCTGTGTTTTTTTGTTTTGTTTTTTTTTGCTAATCGGCTTCGCCATCTGTCGGCAAACTCTTTCCTTACTTTTAATACTTGGCGTAACAAAATATCGTGATTCCCTAAACCAGGGGTTGCCAAACTTTTTTGATCATCGACCCCTACATAATTTTTCGAATTCTACATCGACCCCCATAAAAGTAATTTTCTGTTAATTAAAATAAAATTCGATTAGATACTGTGTTTGTACATTTATTTTATGATTTTGAACATTTATTAAAGTAATAGTACATAGTGTAACAATAGTTTTATGAAAAATATATTAATGTTGAAGTATAAATACTTTAATATTTATGAAATAATAAGTAATTATAGGTAAGTAGAAATAATAAGTAAAGTAACTACGAATTTATTGCTTCTTAATCAATAACATGGGTGTACCTGGTGTGTTTTTTTTTGCAAGGTTCGTTATATTGGATTCAAAATTGGTCAATTTTAATCTTAAATCCCCTCGAAACTCCACATTTAATTTATTTCTGTTCTTAGTTAAGATTGAATTTACNTTGCTTCTTAATCTATAACATGGGTGTACCTGGTGTTTTTTTTTTTTGCAAGGTTCGTTATATTGGATTCAAAATTGGTCAATTTTAATCTTAAATCCTCTCGAAACTCCACATTTAATTTATTTCTGTTCTTAGTTAAGATTGAATTTGCTTGACTGAAACCGGCTTCAACCATATAGGAACTTGGAAATGCTATCATAAATGGCTGATCTATTTCCTAAAGTTTTACATATTTTTGCATTATATTTATATTTGTCCAAAATTTGCTTATTGTTAAATTTTTAAAAAGCGTCTTTGCTTCAAATCCCCATAATAATTCAGCAAGCTCATCTTGCAGGTTGATGTCCACGTTTTCAATTTGAGCAGAAAATGGCACAATAATCCAATCAGGGATGTCAATGTTTTCCAAATCAACAAAACGCAGTTTAAAATCGTCGCTCAATTTTTGAAGATTACCTGTATATATTTCCAAGTCTTCTTCTTTTATTTCTAATTGTCACATATCTGAAAAATACTGATAATCCTTCGACCAATCAACCCTTCCGGTTCGGATCGACCCCCATTCAACCCCCTGGCTCAGATCGACCCCCGCTTATGTTAAATAGACCCCTGGGGGTCCATATAGACCACTTTGGTGATCTCTGTCCTAAACAGATTACATCAAATCGTTCATTTATCTGTCCTCTTTTCAAATGTTTTTTCAATTTGTCGAACATTTCTTAGACACCTGATTACTTTAATACTTTACCTGTACTACTAAACTTTAATCTTGATTATCTCAGAACATTATTTATAGATTTGATCCCCGTTAGCTTTAAGCATCTCAATTATGTAACTTTAGTATAATTAATTTCATTGGCGTTTAAAAAAAAGAACTAATAGTAAAATTTTAATTCAGACCTATACGCATTTCGCTGTCTGATTGGTTCACAATCATCAGAAGAATAAATGGCAGGGGTGTTAAAACAGAGGTGTAAGCTGACAGAGGTTAAATAAAAACTATATAAATAAATATACAAATATACTTAAACAATCAAACTGATTGCGAATGTTGAAACTTAAAAAAACGAATTATTTGCAAATATTTGAAAAATATGGTATGAACCTATGCATTACATTTCTGAATGACCTGAGGTGAGAACCTCTGTCGGTAGAATTCATTTCTGTTTCGGTAGAATTCATCTCTGTTCAGTATTGTATATACAAAATACCTTTATCAAGGAAAGCTAATTTTTTTTAGTATTTTAGAGACTGAAAGTGTTAGGCAACAACCAAGTGGTCTGTTTCCAAACTAGCAAGAATTACCAATGATTTAATTAAAAGTATCATTTAGTGCAATTGTAAATCATAAAGGCATATTTAAAAAATAACAAATGTGGCTTAATAAATTAAGCCCCATAAGCCGTATGTGGCTTAATAAATCAATCCACATTTAAAATACGTCCTAAGCAAATTTTAATCTCTTCAAACAAAAGCTAATCTCTTTCTCTTCTAAAAATTGTAGGTAGAAGAAGAGTGAGAAAAGCTCTTTGCATTGTCTTATAGCTCTGTATTTCTAGCTTAGGATTGAGGCTTGATAGATAGCAGAAGGTTACATTTAAAAGTCAAAAGCTGTTTGTGGCTTGGAGGAATTTTTATATTGATCAGAGTTTAGTTCGAGGATTGAAAAATAAGTTCGCGATATCTGTATATGCTGGATTCTAAAGCGATAAGGACTGATAAAGTTCTTTACCAGCATTTTGGAATGAGGGGCATTCCAGGAGGAAGTGATCTAAAAATTTTAAATTCTCACCCTACATTTTTGATATTAGCGATGCAGGCGATCCTGCTTTCTTCATAAATTTCTTGATTTTCCCAATCTTGCTAAACTATATTCAAGTCCTAACAAAATGTGTACTTATTTTATTTATTTATTATAGGTCCATCTCACTACGCTGCACCCAGTCACAACGTCTACCAACCTCAACGACCAGTGCGAGCCACCAGCAACTACCAACAATCTCCACAACAGCAACACTCATCGTTCCAACAATCTAGCCAATCCCAGTCTCATGGGCGAGAAATGAAATATACCATTAACGATCCCCACAACAAAGGAACCACACACGTCACCGAAACCCATGTTGTGAGCAACCGAGAAATGCACGGAGCTGAAGCTGAAGCAGCCATGAAGAAGCTCATGGGAAACATGGGAACCGGATCATCTTATGGAAATGACGGAGGATTCCACGATTTCGTCAAGAACATGGGATTGCCCTATTTCTAAACCGACCCATTAACTTTATTTAAAGTACCTCGAACATTCCAACTTATTTATTGAACCCATTATTTTTATTTTTTTTCTGCATTGAAGCGGTGCAAATTCAGTTGTTATATATACTTTTTATTTATGCCTTCTAGAGTGACTGCCAGGAACAATGTTTGTTTTATCTGTTATTGTTATTTTAATATTGTTTGGATTATTTAATATCATTGATATGTATCTAAAAGATGAATTGCAGGATGAAAAAGGAAACTTGTTGTTTGTGTGATTCTTTTAACTCAGCTGAGAAACACCAAAATTCATGAATGTTGCCATCTCTCAGTGAATGTCAATGTTCACTTAATTGCTTTGATTAATATACAAAAACATTCATTACATTTCATTATTTTTCTCTCATACAAACGTTGTCATTCAACGAGCACTGACGGTGAATGTTGAATTATATATATAAATATATATATATATATATATCCTAACTTTTTTTTCTCAATGCTGAATGTTGACATTTCTGATGTGGGGAACGAAATAATAATAATAATAGCTGAATTTCGATGCCACTAAGTGAATGTCCACAATCACTGGAGAAAGTTGGCATTTACCAAATGTTAGACTTTTGTCATAACACATTTTTACATGCACAAATACTGAAGAAGATGCAGTCGTAATTGCTGGTTAAATTCTTGAGGGATGTCTACGATTTTATTACGACATACGTAATATAGTATCATTTTGGAATTATTTTTCTTACATTTGATTAATTAATTATGGCTGCTCGTTTATATTTGCAATTTATTAATTATATTTATTACAACTTATCAAAAAAAGAAAAATATATTTAGCTGAAATTTTTCTAAACTTCTTGCTAAGCATTTCCTTAAAACATTTATCATTCAAAACAAACACTATTTTAGTTTTTGTTTTGAACGATAAATGTTTTGAAGAAGTGCTTTCAATTTGATATATGAAGAATCAAACATAACTGTTACTATAAATTTTAAATTGAACCATGGAAAAAATTTATGCCTATTGATCTCTTTTAATTAATAGAAGAATTGTAGTAGCATTTTATCTACATTTATGTTAGTTTTCAAAACATTATACAACACTATGCAAGGGAGAGTGGGGTAACTCCGAGTAGTGGGGTAAAACTAGGTACCTCGATTCTGGCGAAATTGATTTTGCATTTTAACCATTAGCTCTGAGTTACATTTTACTAACTAAGAAGAAAAAGCTGCCATATTAGTGTAGAATTCATGAAGTCTGTGTAGATAAGTTTGTTCTACTGTGTCAATTAACTAATGTTCTTTCGTTTTTAAAGTAGCCTTATTTATCGGTCATTATTGTTATAAGAAACTTTTTAACCCCAGATTATTATACGTTCACTAAGGCTTCATACTCGGACAGACAATAAGGATTTAGTCCAGTAGTAGCATGGTTCTGTTTCGTTTTGATAATCTCTGTTCTCATGGTATAAGACCGGGTATCGCAATTAGGGATATGATCGAGTATTACCACCACCATCATAAAAAGCTGATTTCAGGATAAATAAAATAATAAAGAAAATTTTCAAAAAATTTGATTTCAAGGTTTTGCGTGTCAAAAAAAAATAAAAGGAAAAGTCAAAACAAAATGGCCAAAAAGTAAAACGGAAGAACTAATATATCCAACAGTTTTTTCAAAAAAACCTAAATCTTTAATTGATATTTATTTCCATTAGGACGATAAAAGACTAAGTAAGACATAATCCCTTGTACAACTTAAAAATGTAAAGAAAAAAACGAATTTCTTGCAAAAGTGAACGCTTATGAAGCCTTAAACTCAGCTTCTGTAGGAATATTTCTTAAATATGTGAAAAAAAGCGGTTTTCATAAGTGCCATAGGCAAAATATATATAAATTTGATATTATAAAAAATTTATTGGTCAACAGGATTTTAAATCTTTTACAAATTGAAACAATCAAAGACTAATTTCAATTTTGATGGAATTTTTTTTTCATTTTTAGTGTCGATTATTGCTAATTAATATCTATAGTTATTATTTAATGAACTTTGAAAGAGAAATTTAAATCTTAATGTCCTAGAAAGAATTCATACTCATGTATATAGAATAACACAATAAAATCAGAAGAAAGAATGAAAGAGAGAGATTAGAGATTAACAAAGAAAATTAATAAGGAAATTGTCAGATCTCTATTTTTGAGAAAAAGCTCATAGCAGTAATTGAGTAATTATAAGAAACTTCTTCAAAATAGTTATATATAGAGCTCTATATATGTATTATATATAGATACATATATAGAGTTAATCCTTAGATTAAACAGTCAGCTCCTTTCTTGTTTACACATGTACTATAAGTGTACTGTCTCTTATATTATTTAAAAAAATGATGAGGTACGTATTTAATCTTCTTGTAATTATCTTATAAGCATCGAAAATTTTTAAGATTTATATATAGACCAATGACTTGTTGCTTTAATCGGCTATACTGAACTGCTATGAATAATTTGTTGGTCCAATTATGGAAATCGTATCGAAATTAACAGTTTGATTTTTCTTGGCTGCTGCGTGTAATAAAATATTAGTGTACATGATTTATTAAAAAAATATCAGAGGTACTTACATCTAAAATAAGATAAATAATTCATTTATTCTATCAATATTTACAGTGCTCAAAAAAATGAAGCAACTTGAATTACTTTTTAACTAAGGAACAGAATTTCACATTCTAAGACTTATTCTTAATGTTCCTAAATATGCTAATTGATTAAATCAAACGTAATTTAAAGTTAAGAATTCAGACACAAAACGTACTTTCTCTGAATAAACCTACTCTTTTTCGACGGATTTGGATTAATAAGAAAAATATAGGGTGTAGTCACCATCTGGGAAATATAGTTCCCATAGTTAGGTTATTTTTTAGCACAATTATAAATTTCATTTCTCCAATGATTATCTACTGCAAAAAATAATATTTATTATACTTTATGATTTATTCAATAATTGTCGAAAAATTTGAAATAAATTGAGAAGTCCATAAATTCTTACATCACTTTAAATTTCGTAATTTTATAAAGCAAAATACGAAATTAGAACGAAAGTGGTCGAATAGTGCATGAAAAATTAAATCGGTTGAAAAGCTCCGTATTAATGAATTTTCAAAAAATTCTCAGAATTATAATTTGATGTCAAAGGAAAAATTCGCTGTATTTCATGCAAATTTTTTTTTCTACAGAAAATTACATTCTTTAAAATGATGTAAAAATTTATATGCCCTACAGTTTTAATGCCTTCAATATTTTGACTGTCATCATATAAAATTAATAGAAAATTATAAATAACGTATTATATGTATCTAATATTTCAACGATTATTAAATAAAATTAATTAAAAATTATAAATAATTATTAAAAACAATTTTTTGCAAGGAACTACGTTTGGATAAACAAATTTTATAAATGTTTAGAGAAGTTCTTTGATTCACTTTAAAAGTTCTTAAGATATCGCGAATTCAATTTATTATATTTTATTTATTTATTTTTGCTCAAAAAAAATTTTAAAGCGTTTTTTGTGATCTGTGTTGGTATCTATTGAGCATTTTTTAATTTATGAATCTAACTCATATTTATTTTAACAAGTTTATATGAACTTGCCTCCATGTATGTCTGTTCGGATGGAATTTCGCAATCGATTTTAAACTAACTTCCCGGCTAGCTACAGACTTCAAATTTGACACATAGTTCAGAATTGGATGACAATGCATGAGAAAATGAAGAGATAGAAGACTTACAAAGTAAAATAAAATTAAAATAAGGAAAATTTAGTATTTTCGCGATTGTCTTTTGTTGTCGATTCGATTATTTCAAATTAGTGTCACATGTCAGTTGAAAAGTTTCTTGTACAGTGAGTGAAAAAATTGAGATTTTGGAAGTGAGTACAAAAAAAATTAAAATAAAAAATAATATTTCTAAAAAACATCGTTTTTGTAGTAGAGAATAATAATTAATAAAAATTTGAAAAACGAAAAACGTGGGGCGCATGAAATACATAACAGTACATATACACATTTTCTTACTCATACACATGCACAGCCACATGCATAAACACAAGCATGTTCCACATCCTCATTCAGATACAATTATAATTACAGATAAACATACACATATTCTCGTGAGCACACATACACACACTAATATAGCATTACTGTTATGTATTTCATGCGCCTCACGTTTTTCGTTTCTCAAATTTTTATTTTTTGAATTATTATTCTTCACTACAAAAACGTGGTTTTTAAAAATATTATTTTTTATTTTGATTTTAAACATTCTACTGACATAATGTATTAAGGCAAATATCATTTTTAAATTAAAAAAGATGCTTGCTCAATGAAGATGACCAGCTTTTTTCCCTACGCCAAGGAGAATTATTTTATTTTTCAAATATTTATTGAATATTTCATACTTAGATTATTGAACATTTAATACTTTTATAGTTATTTTGACTCCAGAACTAAGGTATCCATTTATAGCACCCTTCTTCTGAATTAATATTATCAGTTTGTGAGGAATGGGAAAGATTTTTGTGCTCCCCAAATTTTTCTTTCACGTGTTACAAAGAATTTAGAGTAATAACAAACCAATAATAATAAATTTTAAAAAAACGAACAATTTAGAACTATTTATTTTTATTTTAGTTAAGTTAACATTTACTTGAATTATATTAAGTTCGTTTTCATAATTGATGAAAAAAATTAAATTTATTTTAGCAATAAATAGTATTTAGGTCAAATACTAAGAAACAAAAATTCTGGAAAAATTACCACACTGTATAGTAATGACATTTCTAATAATAAAAACTACAATCCTAGTTAACACTAGAAAGACGGAAAATTAGTATATACCTATATTGCCGAAAAGCAGTCAAAATGACTAGATCGTGAATGCGTCAATAAATTTGCTTAAAATTAATTTTAAACATTTTTTATATTATTTATAGTTCTGTAACAAGTTATTAGTAAATATTAACAATAAAAAGAATTATATGTTGTTCAAAAAGTCACAAAACTCTAAGAAATTGCGTCATTGTATGCATCATTGTTTTTCTAATTGAAATTAAAAGCAGTCAAAATGACTTCCTTAGGATTCCTTCCAAATTGATTTGTTAATAAAGGCAAAATATACAACAATTAAATCATTCGTCTGATAATTTCTTTATTCACATGGTAACGGTTAATTGGAAAGTCTGGTTTTAAAAAT